AAACTAATTTATAGCTCTCAAATGAAAGATACAACTTAATTCTAGCCCAAGAATATGGGGAGGGGGTGGGGAAGGGGAGAGGAGAAGGGCGGCTGGGTGGTGGGAGGGTGACCGGAAAGATCACCTATATATCTGTCTAACAAGGGTACAAGTGAACTTTTCTAGAACTAGAATATAAATGTTTTGACACAATGACTAAGCAAATGACATGAAATCTATGTGAACCAGCTTAATGAAAGTATTTCAAATTATATATGAAAACACTACACTGTACCCCATGTTTGCATTAATGTATACAGCTATCATTTAATAAAAAAAAGAAAAAAGAAAGAAAGAAAAAAATCAATCCCTGGCGATTTGGGATCCATCCTTACAGAACTTATTGTTTTAACTTCTTGGATTGTCACTACAGATAGCAATCTGGCTTCCTGCAAGTCGTGTATACAGCATGCCAGTTTCCTGGTTTGTTTATTGTAGATAAGAGAGTTGGTTTCCTGGGCAGGTTGTAGGTCCAAGTTCTATCTTTACATGTGGTCTGGCCACTGTCCACTCGTATATTCAGTCTTTCATAACCTAACAGTTTCCCAGAACTACATCTGTGGATCCAGCTGCCCACTCTTCAACTCCACACAGGGGTGTCTGAAACAGCACAGCCTCAAACCTAACGCCCAAACCTAACGCCTACTGTTTCCAAAGAAACGTCCTCCTACAATCAGCTTCTCTGTCTCTTGATGGTTCATCCATCCTTCCAGGTGCTAAAACCAAACACCATGCCTTTATCCCTTCCTTTCTGACCCTCTACATTAGAAAATTTAGTCAGACAGACTCAGAATTCAATCACTGACTCTACCTCTAATCCCTGTCCTGGTCCGGCCACCAGCACCGCTCGCCTGGACTAGAAAGGACGCTCCGCACCCTCACCTCACATTTGCACTCTACTCTCCATCCATAGTGCGCCTGCTACGACCTGAGTCAGATCATCTTCCTCTGCTCTCAACCTTCCATTCCTCCCAGCACCCCCAGGACAGAGGCCCAGCTCCCGGGCCTGCCATTCTAGGGCTGTCGTCTGCGTACCGGTTCTCTGGTCCCAAGCAGATACAAGGACAGTGACCTTGGCTTCCCTGAGCACTCCCAATTCTGGCTCCTCCTGGGCATTGGGACACGCTCGTTCCTGTGCCTGGGGAACCCTTTCTCCCTTCGTCCCATTAAATTTCAGGGTATCTATATAATTCCTGCCCCGGATTCAGGAGAACCCTAGGCTGGGAGTGACTGCCCTGACTCAAACGCTGGGAGTCGGGAAAGGGGAGAAATCTTGGAATGACGCCCTCTTTTCTAGCTCAGCGCCAAAAACAAGAGGTTGGGTGGCTAAAGGCTGAAGGCCTGCAACCCAGCCACTCACCTGCGCGGGGTCCATCAGGGTCGCCGCCGCCGCCATCGGAGCCTGTGGACCCAGCGGAGCGGTAAGGGAGACCGAGGTGGGTCTGGCGGGCTCAGCCTACCACCTGCCTTGCCGTGCCCCGGACCAAGTGTGACCCTGGGTTGAGCGTGCCACTCCCAGCCTCAGTAGCCCAGTGTAAAATGCGCGCGAGGATCAGGGCGCAGCCTCTGGGGCGCGGACAGCGCGCGGCCCCGCAAGACACCCCCAGTTCAAGGGGAGTCACAGTGGTACAAAGGCTCGGAGGTGGGTCGTAGCTTCACTGTCCTTTCCTGAGTGGCCCCGAACAGCCGGCAGGGCAGCGGGGCTGGCCCAGCCTCTGGTCTCCCCGGCTACTGGGGACCTGGGACCCAGCAATGACTGGCCCCGCCTCAAGGCAGGAAGTTCCGGCCCTCACCTAGGCGGCCAGAAGAATCGCGCTCTCCCGGGCTGCCATTGGCCGGGCGCCGTCCGCTGACGTTGAAGCAACAGCCGGGGAGTCGGGAGTTTACGTTCTGCCTGAGGCTGGGGGCGGGACAAGGGCGGGGCGAGGCCGCGGCGGGGGCGGGATCGGGGCGGACCCAGTGGATTCTCCTCCCACTTGGCCTTTGGCCGGCGACCTTCCCTTAAAGGGGCCGTGCCCAGCCTGCGCTGCTGCCAAGCGCCGATTCGGACCGGCCGGCAGAGGCCATGACTCTTAACTCATTACCTCACTGGTAATGATTATCGTTTTTATATGAAAGCACACTGTCATAACACTTGGCTCCTTTATTTCATTGTCATTTTGATTAGCTGACACGTTCCAGGTTCTGTCCCCCTGGACACCACCTCCAGCACTGCCACGCTGGGCCTGTTTACCAGCAACATACTTCTGGACATCACGGTGGCCTCCTCCCTGCGTGCCCACATCAATTCTTGCATTCTTTGCACAGCAGCCAGAATGATGAGATTAACCACATCATGTCACTATTTACTTAAAACCCTCCCTAGCCCAGGGGAGTCAGAATAAATCCAAATTTCTCATCATGGTGTGGAAAGCCCTATGTATCTGGCCCTACCTGCCACCCATCCACTTCCAGTCACAATGTGTGCACCTGGAACCTGAAACAGGCTACGTCTTTTTCTATTTTTATGTTTGAGACAAGAGTCTCACTCTGTCACCCAGGCTAGAGTGCCATGGCCTCGTCGTAGCTCACAGCAACCTCAAATTTTTGGGCTTAAGTAAGGTGACCAGATTTTAACATTGGTAAAGCTCGACACCATTGGAGGGAGGCGGGGCCTAGGGGGCGGGGCCTGACAACAATGCAAACTTTGATAAGCAGTTCTTGATAATCAGTTCTCAACAATTATTTGTTAATATTAAAGTTTAACGTTATAAAATTAACAAAAATAATATAAAACGCATATGGGGCGAAATAGCCACATGGCAGCCAAAACCCGTATATTCCCTTCCTGTTCTCCCCTGTTCCCTAGCTTGTCATGCATTCTTTCCAAAAATCGGGCTTTTTTAAAATGCTGCAGGATGCAGGACAAATTGTTAAGAATCAGGACTGTCCCGCCAAAAGCTTAAGAGATCCTCCTGCCTCACCCTCCCAAGTAGCCATCTCTACAAGGTGCCTGCCACAACACCTTAGCTTAAGAGATCCTCCTGCCTCACCCTCCCGAGTAGCCATGTCTACAAGGTGCCTGCCACAACACCTAGCTAGTTTTTCTATTTTTAGAGGAGACAAGGTCTTGCTATTGCTCAGGCTGGTCTGGAACTCCTGAGCTCAAGCAATCCACCTGCCTCGGACTCCCAGAGTGCTTGGATTATAGACATGAGCCACAAAGCCTGGCTAGTCTTGTCTTGTCTTCCTCTGTAATGCCACTTCCTAAGACAGTGTCTGAAGCTAGTAGATACCCAATAGTTGTTAAATGTATGAAAAGTTAGCTCATAGGTTGGCCAACACATCCTTTCCTAAAGTCATTATTCTCTGTTGCCTTTGGGCCTTTCCATTTTGGGGACCTCCAGGCTGGCTGCCTCCCATTTCCTTCATTTCTTTTTCTTTCTTTCTTTTTTCTTTCTTTCTTTCTTTTTTTTTTTTTTTGGTAGAGACAGAGTCTCACTTTACCCCGCTCAGTAGAGTGCTGTGCTGTCGCAGCTCACAGCAACTTCCAACTCCTGGGCTTAGGTGTTTCTCTTGCCTCAGCCTCCCAAGTGGCTGGGACTAACAGGCACCTGCCACAATGCCCAGCTATTTTTTTGTTGCAGTTTGGCTGGGGCGGGGTTTGAACCCAACACCCTCAGTATATGGGGCCAGCACCCTAACCACTGAGCCACAGGCGCTGCCCTGTTTCCTTCATTTCTTATGGGAAAACTCAGAGCACTTCTCCATAGAGTGATGGCATTGACCTCTCTCAGAGGAAGAAGCCTCTGTGGCTCTGACTGCAGCTATCTGCAGAGTTACACTGGAGTCTGGGAGGTTGTCACCTCAAATGCCTCTAATCTTCCTGAGTTGTTTTTAATCATGTGGTGTGGCAACTAAGATCTGCCTACTTCCAGACCACATGCAACATCCTCATCTGTGTTTTTCCCTGGAACATTGGAAAATGTTAGGCCAGTATCCTGGAAAGAGTTTGTTTTACATTTAAGAACCAAATCAAGTCAGCTCGGCACCTGTGGCTCAAGTGGCTAATGTGATAGCCACATACACCTAAGGTGGTAGGTTCAAATCCAGCCCGGGCCTACCAAACAACAATGACAGCTGCAACCAAAAAAAATAGCCAGGCGTTGTGGCGGGTGCCTGTGGTCCCAGCTACTTGGGAGGCAGAGGCAGGAGATTTCCTTGAGCCCAGGAGTTGGAGGTTGCTGTGAGCTGTGATGCCACAGCACTCTACCGAGGGGGACAGCTTGAGGCTCTGTCTCAAAAAAAAGAACCAAATCAAGTCAATTTTCCTTGGTGTGCAGGGCTTGGTTCACTTTATGGAATGTAAATTCAAAATGTAATGTGTTAAGTGAGAAGGAAAGATAGGATGGTCGACACACAAGCTTTGCAGGGAAAACAACTTGTATTTTCCCATAGTGTAAGTGGGTGAGTGTGGAAGCAAAGAAGAAGGCAGGGAGACCAGGCAGATAAACCAAGGTGGCCCCAACTTTGTTCTGCTGCAAAATGTTCTTCCTAGAAAATAGAACCCAAGAAATCACCTTTGCTCCTCATGTCTCTGGCCTTCTCCAGTCAAGAATTCCTCTCTCAGCTCAGTAGCACAGTGGTTATGGCGCTGGCCACATATCCTGAGGCTGGTGGGTTGGAACCTTGCCTGGGCCAGCTAAACAACAATGATGACAACAACAACAACAACAACAACAACAACAACAAAGAAAATAGCCAGACGTGTGGTGGACACTTGTAGTCCCAGCTACTTGGGAGGCTAAGGCAAGAGAATCACTTAAGCCCAAGAGTTTGAGGTTGCTGTGAGCTGTGATGCCATGGCACTCTACTGAGGGTGACATAGTGAGACTCTGTCTCA